GGCTTACAAAACTGATGGGAAATAGCAGGGAGCTCCCAGCCCTGCCCTCCTTCCCACCCCCTCCACTGCACAGCAGGGCTGGGGCAGACCTTCACCCACAAGGGATGTGGTCACTGAGGTTCCTGTCCCCAACCTGGGCTTGACCCTCCAGGGTGTGATGACACCGTGTGTATTTGTGGCGCAGCTCTTGCCAGAATGCCAGACATGTCGTGCGGCAGCTGAATGGGGAGACCAAGCCTTCCACCTACACAGCCCCTGCCACCCCTTTGATATGCAATCCTGACCCCACGGCAGGGTGTTGCCACCTGTCCTGGGGTGCTCTGGCCTCCAGACCCGCCTTAGACCGGGCTGTGGCCCCGCTGTGTCTCGGAACGCCTGGAGATGTGGCACAGCTGACGTCAGGCAGGGAAATTCCCTCCCTCCTGCCTCGGGTGGCAGGAGTTTCCCGTGGGAGTTGCACAGTGGCCTGCCAGCTCTCGAGGACAGGGCAGGCTCTTCTGGGACCAGAGCTGAGAGAGAACCTTGCTTCTGATTTGTCACTGTAGTCGCTGCTCTGTGTTTTTCCTTCTTCACCTGTGCCTGAATAACCATAAGGCTTGGCAAGGCAGATGGAGCAACATTCCAAATTTGGTCTCTTAGACCTGTTTCACTCTGCTCCCTCTTCTTAGGGAAAAGTGCCCTGGTTCTTAGTAACAGTAGAAAGAAACCTCTCCAGTGCTCACATCTGCTCTTTGCTGGTGCTATTACCCTTATAGTTAGCTTTGTTTGATGACTCCTGAAAGGGGAGAAAATGGAGACTGCAGCTTCCAAAACAAATGTTCAGCTTCAAGTCTGCTCCTATGCCATCTCCTTCCAGCTTGAAAACAAGGGTCAAAAACTTTCTGCTGCCCTGACGTTTGGAGAAAGAAGACACAGTGTGGCCCTCAGTGGTGGGAATGTCTCCAGGAGAGGGGACATCCATGGCTGTACTGAGGCTTAACCAACAGACTGTGACATAGGAAACTACAGCTCTGAGGACCTTGATGGGGGGTCAGTGAGATACAAGGCTGATGGATTAGAAGTGAGGCCAGCCTCAGGCAAGCTTTTTGGCTTGGCCTGATCCCATGGAAACACAAGGAGTTGGCATTTCCAGGCAGCCCAGAGCACAAGTGAATTAACCTGCTGAGATGGGTGCTCTGGGCTTTCTCCTAGAACCAGTCTCTGCTCTGGGACTTGGAAGATGGGAAAGCCTAGAGGAAACAAAGGATGCCACTCAGTGTCCCATGGGAGCTGGAAGTCTCCATAAGCATGTGGGAGAACAGGAAAAGAGTAAAAAGTGCTTTGCTAGAAGCTGTGGGGTTGGAGTAGAAAGGGAGGCGATGGGAAACTCCTGTTGTAACTGCTCTGGGTTACTTAAAAGTATTGATAGTTTCAGGATTGCTCAGGCAGAGAACTAGGGCATGCCCTGAAAAAACTACAAAGCAGATGATGGTGAGGGATGAGAGCATGGAAGACTTGAGCTTTTCCCCTCTGAGGTGGTCAGTCTTCCAGCCCCTGTCATCTGATCTCCTGCTGAGGCAAGATCCTGGGGACAAAGACTCAGGAAATGGTTTGTGCCTCATGAAAGTATCTGTTATCCCTGCAAAGGAAAACACCAAGCTATACTGACCTTTGCTGTGAGTGGATGATGCTCTGACACTACAGATGTGACACAGGAGACACCAAAGGCAGCCAGACAGCTCTGAAAGCAGTTCCTATTGTCCTGTTGAGCAGGGCTGGAACTTTGTTTCCTCCTAACCCTGCCTCAGCAGCTGATGGCCAGCATGAGGATTGTGCAGAGCTCCAGGTGTGTGGTATTCACAGGGAGCTTGAAGCTGGTGTGTATTTTAAAGTCCACAGTTGTTGGCTCTGAGATGTCCAGGTTTAGCAGGAGAAGGATGTGGGGAGTGGTGCATTGAGACACCTTTGCCATCTTCTCTCCAGATGTGCCTGTAGGGTTGTGCTGGACTGCTGGCCCAGGGCATTGTCATCAGTCCTGGGCCACACCTGGCCATCGGTGATCAGGCATGACCTGCCCAGATGTTGCACAGATGTGGGGAGCTGCTGCCTGGGCTCAGTCCCTCAGGCCCCACCAGCAGCTCTGTGCTCCCCAGGGAGGGCAGTGCCAGCACAGGGGGCCTGGGGTGTGAGTGCCCTTCTTTACTGCTTGGTGTTTGCACTGGGCACAAAAGTGCTGGGGGAATGGGCAGGATCGTGTGTGGAATTGTGGTGGTTTTATTTATTAATTTATTTTTTAAGTTTGCTCTCCTCCCCATCCCTTGTCTCTCAGTATGGAAGGTGCAGAGGGGAAGGCTTGGAAAAAAGCCAGAAATTTGACACTTCTGAAGCAGTGGGATCAGAAATTAGCTGGAGGCAAAAATCTGAATTCTTAAGGAAGCTTTTCCCCTACTATCACAGCATTTGGGTACATCCTCCAGATCCTGTGACAGTCATACTCTTCTTTCCTCTTTTTCTTCACTGGAGTTACTGAAGAGCTGTCTTTTCTTACTTCTGTTCATGAAACTCCTAAAACTTTAATTCCTTTGAAACCTTTAAACATCCCTAATATTTAGTTAAAAATTGAAAAATCTGCTCAAAAGGCATGCTGATGCGGCTTTCTGTTCCCTTGGATAGCCAACCTAAAAACATTTCATTGATGGTAGGAGGGAATGATTTGATTCTCTTCAGCTTTTTCTAATGAAAAAAAAAATCCCCAAATATCGCACAGACTTCTTGCTCTTAAAAGAAATTAATTATAATTTAACAAAAAAAAAAAAAAAAAGAACCAAATAAACCAGAAAACAAAAAAACCCAACCAAACCAACAAAGGACCACAGCCACTCCCCTGGAAACCCCGAGCTGTGAATGAATCGTTTCATCCCCTGGCACAAAGGGCGGGTCTGATTGCAGGCAAATCCTGAAGCCAGCAGTTGCAAAGGTGGCTCAGAGCAAAGCATCTTCCTGTCTTCTTCAGCTCCAAGTGGTTCAGAGGTCCCCGAGCCACGGAACAGGGCGGGAGGCTCAGGGATGTCAGGAAGCTGCCTCTCCCTTGTGCCCTTTTCAGGAGCGGGGCTGCTCAGGCATCCTGACCTTGGGTGGCGGTGCGGGGACCACCACAAATCCCCCGCAGCCTCCTCCCGGGATATAAATGTTTGCCTCTGCTCCGAGATAATCTCCCGGTCATTTCAGCCGCAGCTTGAGCGGAGAGAGGGTGCACGGAGGGGTAACGGGAGAGTGTCCCACAGCTGTTTCCTGGCTGTTTGTCTGCCGCAGACGTGGAAGCGGCGGAGCGGAGCGGGGCACCGCATTCCTGCCCACCTACACACATGCTTGGTGCGCTGCCTGCCGCCAGCCCCGGGCCCGGCTGTAAATCCCTGTCCAGACACGGCCCCGCTCGCTGCGGGACGCGTGCCCGAGCGGCAGCGAGCGCCCAGGGTGACACCAGCCCCTTTTCCTCTCGGGATCTGCCACTGTCAAAAGCTCCCCCTCGCCTGTGCTCACAGGGTCACAGAGCTGTGGACTGGTTTGGGTTGGAAGGGACCTTGAAGGTCAGCCGGTTCCAAGCTCCTTGCTGCGAGGAAGGGACATTCCCACTTGAACAGGTCGCTCACAGCTCCATCCTGGACTTGAATGCTTGCAGGGATGGGCTGTCCACAGCTTCTCTGGGCAACCTGTTCCACTGCCTCACCACCCACACTGCAAATAATTTCTTCTTAAAGTAAAGAATTTCTCCCTAAATTTCTTCCTAAATGAAGTTTACTAGTCCTCATGTACTCAGACCCCCCCTCCTCTGAAATCCCAATTCTCAAACATCTCGGGCTCCATCTCCTAGTAGGTTTCCTTTAAGGCAGTGCAAATGAACTTGGCCAAATACCAGGGAGCCCCGAGAGCCTCCCAGCTATGCACGGGGCACTGGCAATTCACACAGGCACACACCCTGTGCTTGTGTTTCCACTGCTGACTGTGCTATGCAGCTGAGAGGAGCTGCATGCAGCCTCACTGCACTGCTCAATATCTCTGCCCAAATTCCTTCTCCATCAACCCATAGCTGTGTGGCTGTGAGCAGGAGGGACGAAGGCTGTTTGGGTTGCAGGAGAGAAATCAGGACACTTGCTGGCTTTTGCAGGGGGCTTTTGTACACTACTGCAAGTGGGTTTCCATGGCTCTGTTTTCCAGTTAGTTAAAGAAAAAGGCATTCTGAGGTACCTCAGAACATGTCCAGATCTCTGTGGGAGGCTGAAAATGTCCAGTTCTCCAGGAAAAGCTGATGTGTGCACTGCCAAAGAAAACCAAATCATGAGCAATTTGCATTTACCCAACCCCTGGCATGAGGGGTGGCACAGGTCTTAGGTGGCCCCTTTTGAAGTTTTTGTGGAAATGTCCTGGCTAGAAATGTCTCTCATCAGTGCCTTGTGAGTGAGAAGACAGCCCTGCTACAGACCACTATTTCTCATCAGAATTATGTGGTGCTGCTTTTTTTATTTTTTTAATTTTTTTCAGGAGAAGTTATTCTTTTGCTCTAAATTGCTAGCTGGAGACTACCGCTTCTTAACTGCAGCACTGCAAGATGTGTTCAGCACTGCAAACAGGATCCACAGGATTGGGGGTTTGGGTTGTAACAGACTTGTATTTACTGTGCCTGGGGTACCAAGGCTGTGCAGAGCTAAGGCAGTGTAAAACCAAGGGCAGCTCCACCCTTGGAGACAGGGGCCAGCCCAGCAGCAGCAATGTCAGGAGCTGCCAGTTTTACTTCACAAAGCCCTGGGGATGTGTGATCTGGACATGTGCTGGATGAGGAGGCTGGCCAAAATCAGAAGAGAGTCTGTCTCCAGGTGGGAGTTACTCCCTGCTCCCAAAGCATTGGCCACTGCACCCAGGACATTCTGGGAGAGACTCTTCTCCAGCTCCCATGAAGAAGAAGTAGGTGGAGCAGGGTTTCACAAGAACAGCACTTTTCTCATGACGTTTCTTTTGCCTTTTAGGATGAAACCTATGAGGAGAGACAAACTTTTCCAGGCTGTTTGGAGAGCACACAACGCATGGCCACTCTTCCATGAAGTCAGGCTTGAGGAGGTACCAGCTAATCCTGCCATGGGCATGGTAGATTAAATCCAACTAGCTTCTGGTATTTCTCCAGGAGCAAGCATGAGGTCTCAGCAGTGTGTCCAGAGCCCAGGCTGCTGCCTGTGTGCATGGTTGGTTATCCATGCCCACATCCATGGGTGCAGATTGAAACCACGTCCTGGAGTATGAGAGCATGAACCCAAGCTCTTGCTCAAATGGTCTGGGCAGGGAAAGCACTTCCATGCTGTGTCTGTGCTTAAGGGTAGATGCTCAAGGCCTAGACTGAAACCAGCTGGCAGTGTGGACCATGAGTTGGTGTGGCCCTCCTTGCCCATTCCCTGGAGGTATTTGCCCACAGCCCCAATTTCAGCAGCAGGAGAAGATGCAGCCACTCTGAAGCTCTCCCTGGGCTTCTCTGTGTATGTGCAAACCCTGCTGTGAATCTTTCCCTCTCCTCCCTAGCAGATTTGGAGATTCCCATACCTCTTCCCCAATAAGACAAGCTAAAAGGTTTGATGTTTATTCCAGGGTTCAGCCTAAGAGAGAAAAGGTATTTGATATTACAGTTCTTCCACGGGCCAGGCAGGGAAGCAGTGTCCAGCAGTAGGGAGCCCTTAACTCCAGTTAATAAACATATCCTTCACTTCCAGCCTCTCTTCCTTGGTGAGTGCCACTTAGTGAAAGCTGCTTGGACTTGGCCGGGGATCAGCCCTGCGAGTTTACAGGATTCACAATTCACAGATGTTAGAAACTATCAGGCTGAGTGTGGGTGGAGAATGTCAAGTCTGAAATAGCTCTCCTGCCACCCTGGCACAGGCAGCAAAGAAAATGTTTCCACGTGACATTCTTCGAACCAACATTTCCTACAAGGAAAACAGAGGGGAAAAATAAGAGGCAATTGCTGCCATCTCAGAGAACTCCTGACTTTTGCTCCAGGGGTGGCTGGAATTTGTGCTGACACAAACTATGCACTATAGGTGAGCTATAGGGCAGTCCCTTACACTTCTCCTGTCCACACAAATGTATAGGTCTGCCTGAAGATGCAATCCCTCTGGTGCACAGATATGTGGGTGCTATTTTTTTCCTGCTGGAATCCATTTTAATTTAGCTCCTGATTCATATTTCATTCATTCTCCAAACCCACAAAACCAGGATAGGTTTACAGCCTGTACTATTTGGATAAATCATGGAGGGGGAAAAAACAGGGGGACAAAACAGGTTGCTTTCCTGAATGATTTTCTGTGTGACTCAAAAGAGAGAAGAAAAAAAGAAAGAGGTGGTAGAGAGAGAATTAAAGCCATCCTTTCTTCCTTTCATGCTTCTTCAGGAAAATCAGATCTGCTTTTCATCTTTGGTAGTTTGTTTTGGTGGATTTCACTCTTGTTTCTCTAAGCTTTAGTGCCTGAAAAAGATGTGATTTCTATTTTCTTACTTTTACTTTCTCCTCAAAATAATTGAAAATTTTGGGGGTTTTTTAATGTGTAAAATGTATATGTTATTTGGAGGGCACCAGAACAATGCAAGACTTCTGTATCATCCCACTTTTTTGGAAAAAAATGAAAAGGTATAAAGGGAAAGATTAACAAATATATCTGATAACTTTCTTGCAGGGAGGAGGGCAGGAAGGGGAGGCAGAGAGACAAAAGTTTAAAAAAAGTTATTTTTAATTGAGGAATTTCCCCGTATTTTGTCATTCAGTTTTGAAACTGTGACCACAACAGATTGTGTGAACTGTGTATGGTGGGAGGCAGACCGAAAATTTCCCCAGGCAGCTACAAGCAGGTACTAACCCCAGAGCTGACAAGGGAAGCTTTTAAAGTAGGATGAAATTCAGCACAGGCGCTGCACCCAGCAGAGGAAACTCCAGCCATCTGGAGACGAGGATGACCAGCGGCCACAGCAGTTTGTAAAATTGCAAGAGCTGCCAAAATTAAACTGTGAAGTCAGGCGGGAAGGCAACCAATGACCGGCGAGATCAGAAGTTCAGAGAAGCCCCAGATGAGCTCCCAACAACAAGTGTGGCCAGCGTACACCAAAGTTTATTAAGGATGTTGAGAGGAGGGGAAAATATCTGTGCAGAAGATGCCCAGCTGGCGAGGAGGGAGTGGTGGTGATGCTCGGGTAACTGGACGAATCCCATTGGCCAAGCCCCTGGCAGATCCCACCCATCCGCAAGTGTAAAATAAATCTCTAAAGTTGTACCTCGTGTACCACTTGACCTTATTGCTTTTAGCCCGCTGGCTTTATATCTATTTATTTATTTTATTTCAGTTTGTCCCCAAGGAGGGGCTGGAAGGAAATGAATTTTGAAGCAGCACCTTTCACCACCTTGCCGTACTACCCTGATCCCTGCATCCCGCGGTGAGTGTGAGCGTGACGTAACCCCGCTATCGCCGCTTCCATCGCGGTCTCCCCTGTAATTGTTAACTTTCCTGCTGTCGGCAGCTGGGCTGCACGCGGAAAAAATGTGCCGCTCTCTTCATGCTCAGTGGAGCTTATTATTATTTTTGGCTTTCTAACAGGTTACTGTTTAATTATAGGCATCCGTTTAAGATATCCCCTTTTCCTCTTTGGCATTAGAGGGGAAAAAAAATATATGATAAATAAGACAAAGGCTGATAGTATCTTTCCCTGGTGTTTTGGAGCAGAAGGTTACACTGTGCTTTGGGTGGTACAGGAATGGCTTTAGGTTTCTGTTGTGTGTTTGTTTGTTTCTTTAAGTGAAAAAACTCCTGGGAATGATATGAGCTGAACTATTGAGCCCTGAGATTTTGAAATTTAAAGGATAAATATTTAATTCAAAAGATTCAGAGAAGAAAAAACTGCCTTCTAAGAGAGAGCAATTTTCCAGGAATATTTTTTCCTTCTGTCTAACAGCCGGAGTCAGAGCTTGACAACCACTCTTATTTTAGCTTTGTTGTTATGCCGAGTTTTATAATTTTCCAGTAGATAAAAGAGCATGTCCACACGAGGTGTCACAGTATCACATTGTCGGTTTGTTTGTTTCTCCCAATAGAAGATACTATATTTAAGCATGCAAATGACATGTAGATGGTATTTTTCCAGTCGTAAAGTTCGGAGAGGTGAATCCTCTGGGCACAGTCACTTGTTGAGCTGCTTTATAAGACTGGTTTCTGTCTGTGTTTTGTAAAAGCCCTGGCTGGTGTCTCACTGAGGCATTAATCCCTGGAAGAGTTAATAGTTAACTCTGCATCCTCCACAGGGTGCTGGGGAAGTGTACCCTGCTGCATGGCTCTGTGTTGGAGAAAGGGCTTGGCCACCATCACCAGCCCATGGCATTGCAGGCAGCTTTGTGATCTCTGGGTTTTTTCCCCGCTGTTGCACTTTGTTACAAGGTTTGTGGGGGCTTTTCCTCCCCCCTAATTCGGGTGTTTGGTGCCACTGCTGTGTGAAGGTCCTGGGGAGGAGAGTGGAGACCTGGCAGCGAGGAGGGGCCGCGTTTGGGGCCAGCAGAGGGAAAGGAGAGAGGCTGGGAAATAGCGCACGGTCCTTGGCCGCGCTGCCGTGGCACAGGAAGATGGAATGAAGCCGGGGGTATTGGATTCCCCAGGGAGACCTTCCACAACACGAGCCCAGGGCTGGCCAGGCACATGCAGCCACGCTCTGACCTCCTGCAAATCCACCCAGCCCCGCTGAGCCCGGCGGGGATGTGCCTGTGGCCAGGAGAAAGCAGTACCAGAGCAAGGTGCATTTGGGCTGGCAGCAGTGCAGTCTTCAGCACATTAATGTTTCCACGGCTGGAAGCCCCAGCCAGGCAAATTCCAAAACTGAAAATGAAGAAAAGGGAAAAAAGGGAAAAACCCCTGACGTTGGAAAGTGAGAAGGTGCACTGGGAAGTGTACCTGAGCTCTGGGACAGCTTCCCAACCTGTCAACTCCTGTCAGTTTGTATCCCACCTCAGCCCAAATAACAGGTTCTGAAAACTGGTGCTGTGGCTCAGGCAAAAAAATCAGCTGGAGCATGAATTAAACACAAAATGAATCCATTGGCTGTATTTGGTAGAATTTTTTAAATAAGCCTTTCAACCCCTAAAAATCTGCCTCATCCAGCGAGTCAGGCCTTACAGTAGAAATGCTGCTCCTCTCCACATGCCTTAGCAGCATGATGACTTTTTAAGTGACCATTGCAGTGTGGGAAGCCTCAGGAGAGATAGAATTTGTGACACCCCTCAGTCATAAAACCTGTTTGAGATGTAGCTTAGAGTAACAACATGTCTCAGCTGTTATGCATGTCTGTTTACATGAGCCAAGAGTGGCATTTGTTCAATTGTTAGTGACTGTGCTCTGCCACAGGTCAAAATCAGCTCAAAGATTATCCCAAAGATACTTTTCTCAGTCTGAGACATAGATGGTCTTCATCTTTAAGCTCCACTGGCTGCATATTCATGATGTGTTATGTGACATTTCTGACTGCTTTAACAAAATTCAGTAGTTTCAGAATTGCATTTATTTTACACAGTTTGAAACACTTCTGCTTTGATGTGGCCAAAATACTGCATTTAGCTAATACCAGTGCACTTCTTTGCAACTTTAAAATTACATCTAGTAATTATCTAACCAGCAAACTGATAACATTGAGGTATGCTGCCAAAAAACCAATAGTGAAAAGTGTTTTAAACCCTATTAAACTGGTGGGAGGGTATGCATGCCACACAGATTTCCCTGTAATTCAGTGTGGAGGGGGAAGCAGTTATAAATCCCAGTTAACTCTAAGATTTGTGGCTTTGATTTACCCTCTGCTGTTGCTTCATCTACTTATCTCTTCAGTTTGGGGGTGTCCAGCAGGAGGACACGTGGGAGCAAGATAAAACATTTCCTCTGTCAAGAGGTGAACACAGAGCACACCGAGGACCATCAGCTAATCTACCTTTATGATGCTCATGTGCCTTATGCCTGTTATTTCACACACCACTGTGAAAGGATATATCCATAGAACACAGCAATTCAGTGCTGCAGATGAGGAAAAACAGCTGAGTGCCCAGAATCTGTGCTGTGTGTGATTGTTTAAGCCACTTCAGCCTCTGTCTCAATAGGCTAGCTCCCTCATTTAGGCTATTAAATTATTTGTAAATGTGGGTATCAAAGCAAAGCATCACAAAAAAATCGTAGGGAACTCAGCTGGGTGACAGGTCACAGCCTCCTCCTTCACAAACCCACTCATGGCTGTGTGCTGGAGCTCAGTGCTGGAGCTGCAGCCCAGCTGACAGAGGGGCAAAGGAACTGTGGGTGCTGAGATGGGGATGTACATCCTTTTGCAGAAGTGAAGGATGCAAATGTAGGTTGTGACTGAAGTGAGGTTGTTTGGACAGGTGTATCCTGAGTCTGCCCATCTTTCTTCTTCTTGAATAGAAAGAGCTGAGAGATGCTAAAATTCAGCAGACCTCAAAGCCTTTCTCCTTCTACTTCCCCTGTAAAGGGAAACACTTGGAATCAGGAATATGCACACTCAGTGCCCTGGTTTTGGGACTTTGGAAGTGCTGCTGTAACAACAGAAGCACCTGCACTGGAGTGCCAGGCCACTGACCCCCAGGAATGGTACCGTGGGAGCTCATCCTCTGCTGCAGAAAACCCAGGTCAGCTCTGAGTCATAAAAAGAGCTGATTATCTGAAACAGGCGGGATTTCCACCTTCCAAGAAATGCCCACCTAGCTGCAGCTGAAAGCCACTAATGTAAGATGAAAAAGGCACTGTAATTATGATCAAAGTCCAGCTGTTGAGAGCTATGTAATTAGTATCTCTCCCCAAAGCTGCTTTTTTTTCAGCTAATGCCTGGTTGGGGGAGTGATGTTTACAGATAAGTTACTTGTGTTCTTGGAAATAATGGTCATTAGGCTGTGTTTTACCCAGGAGCCCTCTTCTTTGGGGGCTGTTGGGAATGCACCTGCTGGTGCACTGGACTGTAGTCCTGCCTGGCTGCTCCTCCTTCTCCCCATGCCCAGGCTAATTGGTGCCCTCAGGATTTCACATCATTGCTGTTTTGAAGGTGTTCACCGTGGCTCACTCTTCCCTTTTGAATGAAAGGGCTCTCACACAGGCTGCTCTTTCTCCTTTCATTTCTCACTTTGTATTCTCAGCACAATGTGATACAGTCCAGCCTCCCAGTTCTTGCTAATAACAGAGGAACAGCCCTGAAAACCACTGCTCTCTGCAGCATCTGTGCTGGAAACCTGATTTCTCAGACATGGTCCTGGGTTTTGAGGAGGTTGCTAAAACCAAAAAATCAAACAAACCCCCCAGCCAGGTATGTAGAAAAAATGATCTGTTTTTTAGAAAACAATGAGGAAAACTGTAAGAAATTACTTAAGGAGGGTATTATAAATTAGTTGGAACAGAGGGGAGTGTTTGACCCATGGAAACAACATCTGTTGGGTGCTGTATCTGGGTGGATTTTGGTGAGCAGGGCATAGTTCCAGGCAGCCAGAGCTCCAGGGTTCAAAGAGATCTTTCATCAGGAGCACTGCATGTGTCACTTCACCTTCCCTCACTGGTTCCCACAGGTATCAGACAGGGCTGGTGAACGGACTGCAATGATCTGATAGGAGTCTGGCCAAGGTCAATGCTGCAACACAGCACAAGGGTGGAAACTCACTGTACCCCGTGCTCATCACTGCCAAAGGCACCAGTGACACTGCAGGCTTCTGTCCCTTGGGCTGGGAGGGGACAGATCCAGGCAAAACGTGCTGGCTGCAGGCAGCAGAGTGCTGCACCCCTCATGGCTGTGAATCAATGCTGGAGTAATCCTTTCACTCAGGTGTCAGCTGGGTGACATTGTGACAGAGATTTGCTAAAGTTGTCACAGGGC